CAGTCGCACCACAATAAAGTAGTGTGTTGTCTGTCAGTCAGTCAGTAGACACTAAAATGGCGTCACATAGGAGACGCTTAACGTTGAAAGTTTTGCTATTGTGACGTCAGTAAAACGTGTGTTTACCATAAATCACAAGAAGAATTGTGCACTCTGTAGGCTACGACACAGCATGAAATATGAACATCTAGTGTGTATTTCTGAAATATCAGCACTTTAGAAATCTCCAAAATCGCTCATTAATCCAAAAGTTTTGATCTTCTTTGCGTCTCTGGTCTTTTAAGTATGTCCACTGAACAATAATTGTTTTTCTTTTACACAATACTCCATTACTGAAACTCGTTTTATAACTCATGAAATAGCAAATAAAGACAGATCCAAATACAAAAGTACTCGCCCTGTTACAAAGAGCTGCATTTATACTACAATATTTCAATTACTATTTGTATATTTAATTTGGGTTTAGTAATTCACAGAACAGTCATTATTATAATAATTATTTAAGAGCGCCAAATTTCTTGATTTAAAATGTATAACAGCGAAATTTCTAAAGGCAGTTGTAATTCAAAAAGTATCATTATATTACCTGCACAGTTATTTTAATTATTGAAAATTCGTGAAACTAAAGATTAAGATTTTTACAAATGACGTTATAGTCATTTCGCTACGGTCATCTGAGAATTAGCCAGGTTCCCCTTACACCTCATTGATAATTGTTCTATAGGATAACACTGGAAAGGAATAACACACTAGTTTGTTTTCATGGATCATTTGGTTTGTTTAAGATCTGTTAAAAAAGAAAAAAGATATTTCATAAACATAATTTTATTATGTTTTGTTTCTTATTTTTGATAATTTTTTATCTCAAAGGATCTACCTATAGGTACATCACCTCTGATACACATAAACCAAAGTAGGACTTTATAAATAATTAAATGTACGTAAAACTTACAAGTGGTAAAACGTTGTAACCATAGATATTATACTGTGTGTATCAGACAATAAACAAGTCTTAAGTTTAAAATAGTACTGTATCGAACGAAACGTTGTCAATACTTGATGTACATGGACTTTAGCAACGTTTTGGAAGTGTTTTTATCTTAAAGTATTTTTCATTCTACGCGTTCGTGATGTCAGAAAAACACGTAAGTTCAATAAGTTTTAATATAAAACGACAAAACCCCTAAAACCCTAACGCTTTGGAAAGGTAGACCTTTCTTATTCGGGGCAAAAATGGGAAACGCGCAAAGCCTTAAACCATTAGTAATATAAGATATATGTATATGAACGTTATACACGATATATAAGCGTGTTTAATTTATATTTATTAATTTCATCTTCTACTGTTTACTTACAAAATTTAGCCTGTTAAAAGCAATATGTCTAAAATCAAGATAAACATTATTACGAAACGATTATTAACATTGAATAATGGTCAGTAAACATTTAAATGTGTCTAGTTTGATTTTTAAGTACATATAAGTCTATGTTTAAATGTCGTACCCTGGTAAGCGTCCTGGATTGTAGATCTAAGGTTTCGCGGTTCGCGCTATGTTGCCGCATTAAAAAAAAATAAAAAATCCGCGCTTTGAATCTGGTGGTGCGTTATAAGAATGCCGGTCAAAATCCAGCTATTAGATTAGAGTGGTCTATGAGTTAGCGGTGAGTGGGGTTGACTAACTGCCTTTCCTCGCTCTATCATTTTAAAATTAAGAACAGCTAGCGTGTATAGGTCTTGAGTTACTTTGGGCAAAAGTTAACAAATAACCATTTATATGAATTATGATAAAATGCATTTTGTTATATTCAAACGTATCGTGGACATTATGTCAGAACAGTTTTCTAAACGAAAACTTAAACAATAGTGATATCAATGCAAAATAAAATGAGTGAAGTCAAATAGACTTAAGAATTTACATAACAACATAATGAAATAAAACGATTCAAAATAATTAAAGTTAATGCCTTAACTCTTGACATTTCCCAAGTTACATGATTCGTTAAGAATAAATAAAATAATTAAGGTTTTTAACTGCGGCATAGCGGCTCATAGAATGGCCCTGAGTTGTTGTTGTTGTTTGTTTGTTTTCAAGTACAAACTTTAAGCTCATTGCTCCGTCATCTTATGAGCGATTTGAGATCTAATGGTTTTGGACTCCGGAGGTCAAACCCTTTCGAATGAATTGATTTATTTAAACACGCCCAATTTCTTATAGATTAATTTACTGCAATCCTGCCTAAAATGATTTAAGTTTGAGAGTAGGTTTGTAGAGATCCTGATGAACAATAAAATCGAATCGAGTATACGCGCATCCCACGCTTGGTATTGGTGGCACACAAAAATATCTAATATATGTAATCAGTGTACTCAGGTTTAATGTCTGTGACGTCACATTCTTAGTGTCAATGAAAACTTTGTAATCTAATTGTTTCCACAGAAGGTGGGGGATGGACCCCCGGTGGTGTAACCCCCATCTACTTTTGGAAAAACCAAATCAGCACAACTTGACACAGTGATATAAGGTGACATGAGGAAGGTCATGAGGGAGGGACCTCCATATAATTTATATAAATAATTGTCAATATGTGTGTGTGTGTATCTGTTTTTTTATACGTTTCCACATTTCTTAATTCATCAGCACCATACTTGACACAGTAGTGCAGGATTACATAATAAAGGTCATAGGGTGGATTGGACCCGTATTTAACTTTGGAAAACTACCAAATCAGCACAAATTCACACAGTGATACAGGCTGACGTGATTAAGGTCATTAGTGGGGTTGGACCCCATCTAATCTACACAAATAAACGTCAAAATGTGTGTATATATATATATATATATGTGTGTGTGTGTGTGTTTCTTATACATTTCCACATTTCTTGATAAATCAGCATAAAACTTGACAGAGTGATACAGAATGACATGAGAAAGGTCATGAGGGAGAAAGAGAAAAAAAGGTCTCATAGATTAATTTACCCTGATCATGCCTAAAATAATTTCAAGTGCCGCGGTTATTGAGGATTCCCTCTTATTTTATGACGCTTTACCCTTAAATAGCTGAACGATCACACACAAGAAATATATAAGGTTTTAGGAAAAACCTCTCCCGTTTTTCTTACAATCTTAGGTCCAAAAATGTATTGATCGTAAAAGATTATTTCATATATTTTTTTTAATTCCTATATTTTTCATGTCTTTGTTGTTTTTATCTGTTTCACGTCTTATGTACTCGAGCAATGTTATTGGCCTTTAGGAATGTAAGTAATGTGCCACATTATCTATAGCATTCGCTTAAAATGTCTTGCATTGATTGTTTGTTTATTTCCTGTACAGCAGAAAGCTACACAATGGGTTATCTGTGCTGTGGCTGCCTTCGCTATTACAACCTAACTTTTAGCATTATAAGCTCATTGATTTACGGTTGAGCCACCAGGGGGCGTTTGGCATTGAAATAATATGGCGCAAAATTAAGTTTTTATGCTAAAAAATAATAGGTGCATACTAATTTCAGTAGAAACGTAGACAATCAATATATACTTAAAGGTACTGGGCTAAAATCTTGCTCTATGCAACACACAAAATCAAAACTTTAGATCACCGAACAGGAAAATATTGTTCATATTAAGACTGATGCATAGTGTGTGTGAGTTCTTAAGACGTCATTATGCCACAAGGGTTGTTGTGCACAAACTCTCCCAAGACGAAAAAATATATATATAACGAAAGACGTGCTTCAAATTAGTGATATTTAATCCTTTCAGCTTTTATGAAATATAAATTGTTCCAAAACACGCCTTAATATCTTTGGAGGCTTTACTTACTAATACTGTTAAAATATACAATGTGTGTCTCTCCTTCGCTAGGCTTAACAACAACGTACAATGTTTTTGACTCTCTTGTGGGATATCTTACCTAATGTTACTTTATGTAATAATCTAAGTATAATCTTTGTTCATTACTATATTGGTTGCGTAAATAAAATTAAACTTTGTTTTGCTTTAATTACAATTACAAGACAACTGTACTTATTATAGAAACAGTTTAGTTGAAGTTCATAATGTACCCTCATAATGCAGTACATTGAAAAATAATAAACTAATTATATCTACCAAATATTTTTATTTTTAATATATATAGTAATTACTAATGATTACTCTTTTAACGTGAGAAGGAATTTTTATCATGCAAACAATAAATGAAGAGCGAAGATTGAAGAGTCTCTTATTTCACTCTTTAATGCTCCAGTCGTCTGGAAGGTATGGGGTCATAGTAGACGTGCCGGGAAGAAGAAAAACGTGTAAACAATCTCAAAGAGAAAAACAAATCAACAGCAGCGTGTATGTGAATACATTCACAATCATCTTCTTCGTGCCTTTAAAATAGGTGTTACTCTGAATCTTCTTCATAAGCAGTTACATGACGAGGCTACAGGTTCAGTAACTCAAAACGCTAATACATAAAACCAATATCGGCAAATAGTTTAAGAATGAACAACAAACACGTTAATAAATTCAGAAAATAGGTGATATTTTGTATAACTTTAGCGTAATTATGATGACATTCTGAAGTGTTAAAAATATATCTTTGTCCCACGAACGTTAACAGGTTTTTAATGAATCACAAACATTTAAGAAGTTTAGTTGATTTGATTTAATGGTATTAAAATTATGAATGGCATAAATATTTTTGGTGGATATAATATGTGAGATTACGTTAAATACTGGCATATACTGCATATTTATATTATTATAACCCCACTACATTATGTTAAAAACTAGCATATGCTGCATAAGTATGATATCATATTCATATTAGATTATGCTAAATACTGGAATATGATGCACATGTATATTGTTATAATCTTATTAGATTATGGTAAATACTGGCATATTCTGCATATGCACATTACTATACTTCTATTAGATTATGCTAAATGCTGGCGTACGCTGGACATTCATGTAGTCCAGCTATATATATTTGTGTTGTTCCTTTTTGCAGGCTACGATCCCGACATCCCAGGTTATCCGCGTTACGTGATGATTATTAATCCCAACAATGGAGTTTACAACTTGAGGGTTTCACAAGCTCAGCTTAAGGATGAAGGAGTATATCAATGTCAGGTAAGTTTGGATATCTGTAACTATTTGGTAATAATAAGGGTATTTACTTACATTAGTTTATGATTTATTTTATAAAAAATAAGTTGTCTTTGAATGAGTCATTGCTGCTCCATTAAGATAAGTTAGGGTAATTTTTGACAGGCAGTATTTGATCTGTTCTTAAGCTTACAGTATCAACTAAAAGCCCATCACTTGTAGTACCTGAAAATTCGCTGAAACTTGCACAAGTATCATCTCAGTTTGAAAGGGTATCTTTAATTTCTTTAAAGAAATTAGAAGATTTCGTATCAAATATGTTACAAACAACACATGCTACACAGTCGTATTTATGTGGATGATTTTGAATGCACGTGCAAAATATTTCTCGATTTTCTAAAAAAAATTTGTTTAATTAAATTACTTTAAATTATTTTTCGCGCTAAACTTTTGATATTTAGCTATTTTGAAACATCAAGCTTTCTTGTGTTTGTAATATTGTTCTGTAACTTCTGGAAATCGCATTTAATTATTATAACGGTAGATACTTTTTGGAATTTACTTTTCTAATCAAGATAATTATTATTTTTTATGTGAAGCTTTTTCATCAATCCGTTTCAGTAGTTACAAGTAACGTATTTCATATATATATATATATCTGTACGTGTTAAGCAGAAACGTAGTTAACTTTAAAATGTAATTGTCTGTAACGTAATTTCCTTAACTGTTTTTCAAGGAAGTAAATCATTAAGTATTTTAGTTCATACTTTTGATAATATTTAAAAGAATAATATTAATTAACAAGTTTCATAAGCTACATCAACCAATGCTTGAAATTTCTAAGAACAACCGCTTCGATGTAATCGTTTAGTTACTAACTAGAAATTAGTATAAACAAGTTCATGAACTGATCTTCTTCATTATTT